GTTTAATAAATATAACTCTGGTATTTATATAAGGCTCCATAGATTCACATGAAATTAAGTGGAATTTGACCCCAGAAATAACTTAACTTATGAGAGCAATTCCTTACTTGATGAGCTTTTGTCCCAACACGAAGCTCTCTTGTTTTCTCTATTGCATACTAATTACTGCCTTTTAATGCAATATCCCAGTGTGAGGTCTGTTTACTGCCAAATTCATTTACTTCAACAAGATTAGCACCAGTATATAAGCGATTAAAAATTGCCTATAACTTCAGAGGAAATAATTTACATGCATATCAAGTATGGGTAGAAATATTTTTCTCTATCTTTAGCTTCAGTGCGGAAAACTACACATTTCCGTGTTCCTTTTAATTAGGATATACTTTAATTGAAGGATAGTGATTCAGATGTATGGATATCATTATGAATTAAAGAGATATCATTTAAGATAAAATGCTAATCGTTAAAGTTGTTGTTCTCGGCGAGTTTGATGGTCATTAAATTTGCATATATTTCAAACTGCTTACAGTTCGTTCAAAATATTCTTTTTAAATGTTTGGAAGCTATTAATTTTTAGTCTTTAAGTTTGACCTGCTAAAACAATTTTTTTAATTATTTATAAATAACTTTTTGAAATTGGGTATTGGTATTTTGGAATTATTAAAAAAGTATGAGTAGCAACTTATTAAGTTTAAAAAATATTATTGCTGTTTTAATTTTTTTTATTTATTATTCTTCAGTCCAAACAGTCAACGTAAATTTCGACATGAACATTTTTCAGTGACTGCTGTGCGTGCAACTATTCATGTTCAGATTTTTCAATGAAATCTTGATATTTTAGACGCATTTTTTTATTTGAATCGTTTTCAAATGTTGTTCTCTTATTCCCGACTGTTTTCACTGCTATAGAATTCTCATATAAAATATTTATGATACATCAGGTATTTTTCTTTTTAAACTTTATTATATATATATATANGGGCAAATGTCTTATCTTGCACCCCTTCTCCCTAACTATGCAGCTGATTTTATAGGAAATCTTATCTTCAGAACCAACCAATCAACTACTATTCTGGAATTTACTGTATAGGAAAAAATTATCTAAAAATTGTTACCCAGCTCAAAAGCAGAGTATTACACCTTCTCAAACAACAATTATATATATATATATATATATATATATATATATACACACACACGAAAAATTGAATACAGAAAAGAAGAGGGTACTTTTCAAAATAAAATTCTTTCATTTTTTAATTAACTTACTTATTTACAATCAAGCTAAATACTGAGCTTGTCTGATTTATAATTTGTTTTTTATTGATCTAGAAAATGAAGCATGTCTACGATATAACCAATTTTTGTAAAATTGAACTAATGTAGAATTAATTTTTAAAATGAATTCTGAAAGTTCTAAATGTATTTTTAAGATTTATATTATTAGGGGGCAAAGAAAAAGAGAAACTTTAGAATGAAATTATATAAAGATATTACATGCATTCATATTTTTAAAATCACTATAAATACGGAGCTTGACTGCTTCCCAGTTTGTTTTCAGTTGGCTGAAAAAGGTACTGGCTATATGATATAACTAATTTTATGGAATTAATTAAGTAATTTATCTAAAATTAATTAATTTAGAATAAATTAATAAGGAATTAATTATTAAATTTAATTGTTTTACAACTATTTTTAAGATTTATAATACTACAAAGAGCCATGTTTATTTTTACGCAATCTAACTAAATAATGAACTTGATTTCTTTGTCATTTGCATTCGGTAAATGAAAATATAGGTTAATAGATACGAGATTTTCTCAAATAAAAAACCTTCTTTTATGTACATCTTTATTAAAAAAATTACTTGATGTAAAGTTAAGAAACAATGAAAGTACTACTCTCAAAAATGGCAACAAAAAAACACTCTACCAGGAAAAGTTATTTAATGACATTTTTTATCATTCTTTTTATAACCGCATTGCGAAGTCCAAACAAAATTACGTCTATTAAGTCAAGATTAAAATTATAGTTTTATTCCAGTAGTATTTTATAATATCGTTAGGTAAGTTCACTCCCGGAAATATTTCTTTCTCCAAGTTAATGTTAAGTACAGTTCGTACAGTTTCACATTTGCTGTTTTGCTCTGATAATTTTCAAAAATCATATCTTCAGATATAGTTTACTAGTAGATAGAATAACGCGGTTATGAAAATGGTGTTTGTTTTTCTTTGTTATTTAAGAGTGTAAACATTAAACAAATGCGTTTGTTTGACTGTATATGGTTATCAGTTTTTGACCTTCTCACGTGTAGGTAACGTTTATGACTAATGATTATTTGGATGTGGTCTGTGGTTTGAATGAACTTAAAATATCATCTGATAATTTGTATTGAAAAAGATCTAAAAACAGTTTAGTGCGAGATTATTTTATGAATTACATTTATTTTTGCACGCTTTTATTTAATTGCGATTTCTGAAGTAAATATATTTAAAATATCAATTAATTCCGTTCGTTTGGAGCAAAGAACTTAAATAATAATTTTTAATTGGTTTGCCAAATAATATTTACACTGTTGAGAACAGTAATTTTGCGACCTTGTTCAAAACTAATAATACATAGGAATATAACATAAGAATCAACATAAGATAATAACATCAACATAATTTAAATATTAATTGATACTTGGTTTGACAAAAATTGTATTAATATTTTCATTATGGAATTGAGCAATGATAGGCCTCATGCTCAAGTATTTAGTATTTTTATATTAACTTTTTAAACTCTAAATTCTTTTTAATAATCAACTTATTCTGGCATAAAATTAATAACTTAAAAACACTTGATTTATTTTCGAATTAAAGAATTCAAACTGATTTTTTTTTTTAAAAATATTCCTTTCTGAAAAAAATAGAAATTAGTCAAAATAGATAATACTAATAGGAAATAAATATTTTTTATCACATTACATAATGCACAAAAGTTCAGTTTATGATAAAATATTACAATAAAAAACTTTAACGCTGATGTATTTAGATTAAAAAATAAGTTAAATATTCTATTAAGTAAAATATTCTATTACAAGTACAATACTTTAAAGAAAGTTCACAGGGTTTAAAATGATTTAAATTAAAACAATAGCACAAAATAAAATTTGACATTTAGTGGGGAAATTATTCCAACTTTAAAAAGTTTATGATAAGTAAATTATTAGATGACAAATCCTAAATATTTTCTTTTTATTCAAAAAAAAAAAAGACTTTTTAAGTTATAAAAAAAATTGAAATAGAATCAAATTTCACGAGTTGTGATAATATTGAGTTTAAATATCAGATGGAAAAGCGTGAAATGACTGCGGCATAAACTATTAAAAGTCACTTGTATTTACGATAAAATTAGCACAAATAAAGCATGTCAACAAGTGATTATTTAAATGCGTGATTTAATACCCATGATTCGTAGTAATATCGTATAAAAAATATCGAAAATTTAAAAACCACTTGGAAATGCACAGCAATAACTTCCCTAAAAATATGATCTTCGGATTGGCGATTTAATTCACAGAAATAATGCCATTAAAAGCGTTTATTTGAATACATGCACGATTCAATACTTGAAAGACGCTCAAAAGCATTTTTTTCCCTTTATTATCGTCGTTGAACAGCCGACCCAATTTTGGGTTTACGACTTCTAATGTTCAATGCCATAGCCTTGCCATTTTGAACCCAGTCCAGAAGACAAGAGAACTCTTGGATCAAATATTAGGAGAAATTTGCCTTCGTGGAGGACTTTTTGCTGGAACTAATCCGCATTTGTGTTACATAGAGAGAAAAACCTCCCACGGCAAGCCTGACGACAAGGGACTCTAACCCATGTTCCGTCTACCACTGAGGATATTTCACGTCAGTACTGTGGTCGATGCAAGCTGGATGCGGAATTCGTATCGACTGGGATTCGAAGTTCAAACGTATCAAAAATATCGCTAGTTTAAAAACCACGTAGGTATCAGACTATCGAAAAAACGATCAAAATGTCATTTAGATATACAATAAAATTGGCACGAATAAAGAGCATCAATAGTCGTATTTAAAAAAAAAATGTTAGGATTTTTAAAACTATGGGAAAATCCATAGCGATAATAACGAAAAAAAAAGATGATCGAAAAATTATATTGATTAAGATTGAGAGCATCAAAAATTTTTAAAAACGCATTTAAAAATTTCTTTTTTTTAATTACAGTAATTTTTTAATGTTCAGATGTTGCCGTGGGCTGATCAACAGAAACTGTCGGGCAGTAGGCTTTGTACACATACAATAAAATATGTAGTCATAAAAACAACTTAATCTGGAAAAATTCAAAACAAGGTGCTTATGGTGACCAAATTTAGTAATCACTACTTGAACGGACAAACAATGAAACACCTGATATTAAATATGAACATATTTACAATTCAATAAGAGATTGCAACTTGTATGAATTTAATTTTAAACAAAATTCAAAAAAATGCAATTAAAAAAAAAATTACGATCAAATATTATTTGTTTATTTTTCAACTTAATACCCAATATGGAACATATAAATCATATAACAAACGAACATTTATTCTTTTACTTATTAAATTATTTTATTTGAGGACAATGATTGAACTAAAATACAAATGTTACCAATTCAAAGTAATTAGTAATTTTTAATAAAAATATTATTAACAACTGAAGAGGTGAGAGGAAAAAAGTTTCAACTGACAAAAGCGTTCGGATTAAAAATAAATAAATAAATAAAAATATGGTCACCTTTGGGTACAGAACTTTTTTTTTTGTTGATGCATTGCATTGAATGAGACGGTTTTATTAAAAAATGTGTTTTTAAACAGTTTAGTACTACATTTTTGACGGATGAAGTTCCTAAATATACTAAAAAGTCTCTCAGAATCTCCTTCTACTAAGTTCTTCAATAGTACTTGGTTTTTAACCTTGAAATAATTTTATTTATTTTGTTTTAGAGTAACCAGTACGATTGTCTACTTTGCTTGAAATTCGCTATGCAAAACCCGGTAAGTAAATTTTCTTAATTTTTTCTTATATTTTGTTTTTTTAATTAACTTTAAACATGCTCCTTTATTTTAACTTTTTCTGAAAAATTAATATTGGATGAAACTAAAAAATTTCTTGAGTTATGGATAGCTATAATCGATGTCAAAAATCATAAATTTAATAATATCGCGATCTTCGGCGACGGCGATGAATATCGAATTTGGTAATAGTGCAAGTATTACCAATAAGATAGTTGTCGAATACGATATTATGGTACGTGATAAATTTCATTTCGGTATCGAAAATATTGACCAGCATCAAAAAAAAGTTTAAATTGGTTTAAGCTAAAAATATCGCACTGTATCGTTTAATATTGATATTTCTCAACACGATATAAAAATTATAATATCGCCTTGCACTTTTGTTGAAAACAAGCTTTTCCGATTTGTTATGAATCCTAAAAGTTATTATATATGACTCTGCGTGGAAAAGTGTGTGAAAATATCCGATACAAAATTACTTCCTTATCGCAAAATAAACGTTCCATCATTAATCAAACCAGAAAAAAAATATATTTAAGTGATAGATAACATGAAGTATTAAACACTGTTGACAGTAGGTGGCCGTTTAGGTTTCCGAAATATTTAATCGAAAGGGAAAAAAATCGTCTGATAAAAATGGAGAAAGTATAAAACCATTCTAAACAAGGTTTCATCCATCAAAAAGTTGTCAAAATCTGCGGAAAGTGAAACCAATCAATAGATTAAATCGATAATTTACACCATTAATAAATGTAAGCAACCAGCAAACCCTTCAGGATTACTCCCAGCAACAAAATGAAAACAATTTGGTGATTCAAGTTTCATGAAACTTTACCTCTGGTGTTGCTACTGTTGATATCGTCTGAAACCTGTGCGATTCGTTATTATCGGATCAATTAATCAGTTCCGAAAGTTAATTAACTATAATTGAGAATGAAAGGGAAATTTCACCGAATGAACAATGAAATTACGATCGTCTGGAGTACTATTATTAGTGATTACGTAATTTTTCTCATGGATACTATTCCAAGGTTACGGGTTTTGAAAATGAAAGATGGAAACTTAATTATCTCTATGTCACAGGTAAAAAATTTTTTTTCATAGTTAATGTGTATTCATAAAAGACAATTTGCTTTTCTCATGTGTATTTATGTCTTCGAACTCTTGGAGACTGGAACTATGTATGCAGACGATCCAACTAACGAATCATTTTACGTCAACTGGAATAATTTATTACATTTATTATCGTTTGTTCTTCTTTTTATTGAACTGAAATGAATAATAATTTTTCTAAGTTTTTGGTATGCGCCTTGCTTTAATTATACATTTAAGTACAGCTTTTTTATTTTTTAGTTTAGTCAAACGATTACAACGACTCATTAAAAAAATAACAGGAAAAAATGAAGTAATACATAAAATTCTGTCGCAAAAACCTAAATAACTATATATTTATGTAATATGAAATTTGCAGTTTTCCTTCGGAGATGTAATATTTGAGAAATTTAAACGATTTATCATAATACACATTGTAATAAATTATAATACAATAACGCATTTTATTACAGAAATCGTCAGATGTTTATGAACAAAATTACCTAGATATTTTTAAAAGTAATATAGAAGTAACAAATTAATGTCCTTAGTTATGTACATACATGTAAAAGTAAAATATAAAATTTTAAAAACTGCGTTTTTCATTTGAATTAAGGAATGTGAAAATGGTTCTACTTTTGCCACCACTAAAGCAAAAAAATTCTTGAATTCTTCTGGAAAGACGTGAGATGTGGAATGGTGATAGAAATTTCTTTCAGTTTATTTTACTATTATTATCTTTAACAGTTAGAAAGTTTCGATTGATGATAATATTTTTATGAATTTTGATTACAACAATAAGCAAATAATTTTAACACGCATAACAATCAAGTACAGAACTTTAGTTGAAAATTGATCTCTCTTGCAAGTGGAAAATCGATCGAAATTTTGATTGACAATAGATTCTATTAGGTGATAAAATCCGCTTGCTGTGGTCTGGTAGCGATTGTAACTTGTATTGTCACCAGACACAGAGCTCCTGTTGATTTTTCCAGTTTAATCGATGCCCTCGGTTATAACATCAGATGGGGATAAAGAGGAGTAGGAAAGGGATCAAGATTTGCTTTCCCAATTTTATAGCCTCCCACCCCTTCTACAATGAAAGAAGTTTTCCCCGCTTCTGTTGTTAATATACTTTTGTAAGCATTAAATACTGAGATATCTCTTTCAGAAATCCGTCATTCGAGTGACAGAGGATGCTCATGGATTGTCAAGTATCTGTTCCTGTTTTATGAGCACTTACACAAAATCTAGAATACTAGCATTGCAAGTAAGAAATACTCTCTTTCTCTAAATTACTGTGATAAATGTATCAATAGGGGTAGAAAACCCGAATGCTTTTAGCTAATTTTTTGACGAGTTTTTATTATGCAATCATCTAATACACTTTTTTGTCCTATAATTAGCAAATTTTAAATGTCGAATCACTAAAAATCAAATAATTTTTGAGCAAAATATCTGGAGATGGCATTTTGGACATCATTCCGATTTTCAATTTTTTTTTTTTTCTTTGTCTCTTAAAAATGTCGCAGTGATCTGGAAAACCTACGGTGCAATATCGAGCGATATGTGCGGCAGTACCTCTAATCTTCATTTATTGAGTTTTTTCCAGGATTCGGTTTTCCTGGTCGGATATGAATTAACGGATATGAATTCAGAAAACCGTCTTTAGCACTTACGAACGTGTAATGCTCTCGCATAAACATCGAAAATATTTTGTTGTAATTGTTTGCGTTACCTTACGAAACTCGAAAAGCATACAGTGCCAGATGTCTCTCCCTTCTGATATTTGGCTGGTTACTTCTAGCCCTGGGTTACTTCATCATAAATTGAAAATAAAAAAATAAATAAATCTATAATTAAATAAGATTTAATTATTTGCGAGCAAATAAGTCATTCTAATCCATCTGGGAACGACTTTAAGTACCAAATTAGCAGATTAATGACGACAAATGACGAAGAGGCGTTCAAACAACATTAATCGTTTAAATGGCGAATTAAGATTGGATAAACATATAATTTAAATTTTGATAAATGCACTTAAGAGCTCCTAAAGACAATAAAATAAAAATAATAAAAAATGAGTTAATGTTTTTTTTTTAAATTGCGTTTTCAACGATGCTCCTTTTTCGGTGTTCAAGATCACTTCATCTGTGTTCTGGTACATATTTTCGTTCTCAACAAAATGGTATCTTTTTAGAACTCCGTGAAAATGTAAAATATTTTAAAAAATATATTAATAGTTTTTTTAAAGCACGAAATGATTAGATATTTACGAGATATTCTACATTGTCTCCAGGAATAAGTTTTTAAAATATGTCAAGAGAGGCACAATTTTAACATTTTAAAAAATTAATACGAGCTTTTACAATTCTGTTAGATCATCTAATTTCACTTTTTTATTCGCTTTTATCAGAGCTTTCTTTTTTTTTTTTAATTTGCACTTGACTCTAGGATTTGATGTCGAATCGAGGTTATATTAACCCATTAAAAGCTTTTAAATGTTGTAATCGCATAATAAAAATTAGCAAGATAAGAATTTACAAATTGTATCAAATTTCTAAAATTTAAGAAAACCAAATAATCATGAAAATGGAGACAAACTAAATTCAAAAAGTACTTTATAATATAATTTTAAATGTCTCTAAAATAATATTAGCTTACTTTAATTGCTCATTATATTCAAACTCAAAGTCCATGTTCCATTAAAGCAAAGGCATGTAAATGGTCAATTTCTGATCCTGCTTATAATACTGAAAGTATTTTGTACTAATATTCTTTTACATTTTGAAATTTCATTATTATTATTATTATTACGAGTAACACTGTTTTATAATAATCATTATTATTTTGTTAAGTTGTTTATCCCCTAGAATTTTTCTTGAAAACCAATTTTTTAAACATTAATTTTTTTGACATTTGATTGAAACGACTATCTATAAAACCGAATTTCATGCTGCTTATTAACGTTTCTATTGAGAAATCTTAAATTTTATTTAATATTTTTTGAAACAGAAACAATCATCCGCTTAAAAAAAATTAACTTCAACGATTACAAATCCTTATCTCTGAATTATTGTTTTTATGAATGGGATATAATAGCCAATATATGACCAAAAATTCGATTTTGTGATTATTATATTTTACTGTTGGAAAAGTGTTTTGAAATATGTGTTCAAAATTACAAAGTACTATCTTATTTAGAAAAAGAAGTTGTAAGCAGTTTTCGATTGACGCGCCAACAATTTCAAAAATCTGAGTGGGCCTGGCCACCCTAAACAAACCGAGTTAGCAACCTTTTATAAATATTTTACATGTTTATCATTATTTTAGTTCAATATTTTTGTAAAAGGTACATTTAACCCTTTAATGCAGATGGGACACTGTCCCTTTTATATATATATATATTGTTTCTGACGCTCTAACTGCAAGCAAAATTATATTTTGACATTTTTCATTACAGAAAACAGTTGAATAGTTACTATAAAAATCAGTGAGATTATAGGAATTATATTTTTATTAAAATATAAAATTTCAAAAAAAGCAGTTCAAAAGTTTATCAATAATTTATTTTGTAAATTAAAAAAATTAAAATGATGAAAAACTGTTTTTCTTAGATCTAAATAACTGCAAATAAGAGAAATTATTGTTTGAAAGTGAACCGTATTAGGAAGATTTAGAGCAGAAAAATACACGTGTGTTTCATGCTATAATTTATAACATTAACTTTCAAACTTTATATTTATTGCTATTGTGAAGTAAACAGAGCTTCAGAATCTAAAAATGGTAATTGTTCATGAAGTTTATCTGTTAACTTTAAACTTGTTTTTCTCATTTTGTTATTTTTTAATGTTTTCTAGTATATAAAAGCCTAAGGAATTTTATCTAAGTTAGAGCTCTGAAATTTTTGTAATGCGTAGAAATATAAACAAAATAAAGTTGAGTATAGAATAAGGTCTGGAGTAATTGAAAATTCTTTAAAAGTTTTTTTAACTTAAACTTAGAAAAAAAATTGATTTTTTACAAAAATTAAAGTATAAAAAAAAATTTCAAAAAAGGAAGAAGAAAAAACTAATCATTGTTTCATAAAATCCATAGCCAGTTTTGTTCACACTTATACCAGCATGCCAGTAAAACATTTTAAGGCTGGTATTTTAAAAATTAAAGACTTGTAATGTTTTGAATTTTTTTTTTTTTTTTAAAGTTAAATGTTTCATTATTTATTTTATTTTTTTTGTTATGAAGATATGTTCTAATGTATAAATATTAGCCTAAATGCAAATAAAAAATTTTTTTTGCTTTTTCTAATGAAATAAAAAATTGGGTGCAGCGTTTTCTAAATTTTAAAAAGATTTATTTCTTTACCGATTAAACGCAATCAGCGCTAGAAAATGTTTCCTATAAATGTTTTCATCATCATGCATCGTAAATTTTTTGCTGTAGTGGCGCCATCTGTTGAGGAATAATTTAACAACTTGTTGCTTCGCATCTATAGTTGGCTAAATTAACGTTAAAACTGATCTGAAGCTGTCTAAAAAAAGAACAAGATAGAAAATAGGATCAATGTGACAAAGTATCTAATTTTCACCAGCAAAAAGAATTTGCATAATTAATATTTTAAATAATTAATTCCCTTTGATTTTTTTTTTTTTTTGTTAAATTATATTACACGCAACTTATTTGTTTATTCCATAATTCCACTCACAATTTTCGACCCACCTAATGATATGTTTTAGTTAAAAGTTTATGAACTCAAAAGATGATTTTTGGGTATTTAGGCATTGAAAAAATAGGTTTCAAAAAATATAGTTTTATTTTTATTAATTTTGTTTTCTTGTAAGATTTTGAACAGCTGTTCTCCCATACATAATAGGAATATTACTGAGGATATCAAATTTTGTATCCTATCTTTATGTACCAAATTGTATGTAACTTTGTTTCATTCAATTTTTCCATGTAATTTAATGCGCATTTTTTAATATTAAGATAGAACTCGTTACATATTTATAACATATTCACATATTTCTTTTTTTTTTTTTTTTTTTTTTTTTTTTTTTTNAATCACCTTTTTTTTTTTTTTTTTTTTTTTTTACTTTTACGTATTACAATTCTACATTTATAAATTTATACTTTTGTTTCATAAAAAAGAAACGAAAATATTCACCAAGCTAAAAAAAGATTAAGTATTTTCTTCGAAATAGCATTATTCATTAAATAATTTTGATGATTTGATGTTTAGAATATCAGAAGCGTGAATAGAAAAGTCAAAATTTCTATCATTTATATTCACAAATAAACAGCTTGAAATATTTTAACTGCTTATTCCACAGGCATAGTTTTGATTTCAGTCAATACCTCTTTTTTCGGTCAGAAATAGTTCTCAGCACCTTTAAGATTTGTTAATCTCAATACGAAAGCTGTTCTTATTTTACCCAGAAATCGGCACAATACAGCCGTATTGGTCTAATATCATTTGATTCTACATTCGATTAGCATTTTTTTTTTTTTTTTTTTACTTTCGTGTAAACCAGGGATATTTAATTTATTTAAGACAAAACTATTTTTCATAAAAAAAATAAATTTCAATGTTACTTTTCATTTTTTTTAAATTTTTTAAATCTTACCTTAGTTTTTATCTTTTCACACCTCTATAACTATTATTGCTTCTAATTTAGTATAGAGTCATTCAAAAAAGTGTATGCTTTAAACGTAAATATCAATTTATTTTTTTCTAATGTTAATTTGAAACATGAAATTGGTATAGATTTTTCTGTTTCGTAATTGTTTCTGCAGGCGTTTTTGCTTTTATTTGCAAATAGCTAAAAATATGATGTACAGTTGATGTAAATTGTGCTGATATTTAGTATTTAATATGTGAAATTATTGTATTCATTTTAAAGATAAGGTGTGGTACAGACGTCCCATATTCTTTAATCTCCATCTTTATATTCTCGATCTTTATATTCTCCACCTTTACCTTATATCATACAATACATAGTCCAAAAAAATTGTATGCATGTCTGGAGTAGAAACAGTTATAAAAGCTTTAGCAGCGAGAACCTACACCTTTGTTAAGCCCCACATTATAATTATTTTGATAAACTATCTTTTAAAAAGTTATTTTAAAATTGAAAAATTGGGTAGTTAAAATTATTTGCATGGATTATACTCAGCCAAAATATTACAAAATTTTTCATATATATATATTTATTTATTTTTATTACTTTTAGTAAAGAATAAATAAATAAATAAAATAAAATGAAAAATAAT